ACCCCCCTCCCTCCTCCCTCCTTCTCTCCTTCCTCCCTACCCCCCCAACCTAACCAATCTCCCTCCTCTCCTCCTCCGCCTCCTCCAAGGCCTTCATCGCCTCCTCCACCGCTCCCTTTCCTCCGCCCTCCACCGCCTTCTCACCTCCTCCGCCAAGGCCTTCGTCCACCTCCTCCGCCTCCTCCAAGGCCTTCACCACCTCCTCCACCGCCTTCTCCACCTCCTCCACCTTCCTCCGCCTCTCTCCTCCGCCTCCTGCTCTAAAACACCGACTGAGCAAGCCCGACAAGCGCTGAGGGTTTTATTGACTTAGGCCGACGACAGACATGTGAACAATGGCCTTAACCTCTGTCACGGCGCCTCTGCCAAGGGAGGATAATATCGCTGATGTGCTGGAGTTGAGCGAATATGTGTGGAGATATGTGAATGAATTTGACGACGGCTTCTCTCTCTTTTAGATGACTGTGTGTGTGTGTGTGTGTGTGTGTGTGTGTGTGTGTATGTGTGTGTGTGCGTGTGTGTGTGTGCGTGTGTGTGTGTGGTTGTGTGTGTTTGCGTGTGCGTGCATGCGTGTGTGTGTGTGCGTGTGTGTACGTGTCTGTGTGAGTGTGTGTGTGTTATAGTGCTCCAACAGTCGACCGCCTGCTTCCCGTCTGCTGCCTCAAGCCCGTTCTCACAACGAGAAAACATCGCATTGTCTTGTGAGGTCAAGCGTAGGTGTTGGATGTCAAGTTTTGGGGCAAGATGAAGCTAGACCGCGGTTGATGAGGCAAGGGAGCCACCGCCAAACCAGCCCTTGATGGAAGATTTGAAGGAGGCCTACAAAGGAATGGTAGCCTGTGTAATATTAATGATAATAATGATACTGAAAATATAATATACACGCACACAAGCACACGCAGATATATATAAATATGTGTGTGTGTGTGTCTGTGTGTAGACAGACAAACAGGATGGCATAGAAAGAAACAAACAAGAGACCACAAGAAAGAATGAGAACAGTCACAGAGGAAATAGAGATATAAATCGACATGAATAAAGAGAAACAGAAAAATAGAAAGACAGAGACAGGGAAAGTGAATGTAACAGACAAGAAATAAAAAGAGAAAGAGACAGTGCAGAAAGAGAGAGAAACAGATACAGAGAAAACAAGAGCAACTGACAGAGAGAAGAAAGAGACAAACACAAAGAAGAGAGAAAAATAAACAAAGTAAGAAAGAACAAAAACAGAGACAGAAAACATGTAAAACAGGCAAGAGGAAAAAGATAGAAAAATAAGCAAAGAGGAAGAGAGAGAAATAGACACAATAGAGAGAGAAACAGATACAGAGAAAACAAGAGAAACAGACATAGAGGAGAAACAGTCTGAGGAAGACACAGAGAAGAGAGAAAGAAAGGAAAAAAAGAGAGCAAACAGAGAAAGAGGCACGAGGAAAAGAGAAAGAAAGAAAAAAAGAGAGCAAACAAGAAAGAGGAAGAGAAAAGAAAGAAAAAAAAGAGAGCAGAGAAAGAGCAAGAGGAAGAAAGAAAATAACAAAGAAGAAGAGAGAGAAACAGACACAAGAGAGAAACAGATACAGAGAAAACAAGAAAAACAGGCATAGAGGAGAAAGAGATTGAGACAGACACAGAGAAAAGAGAGAGAGAAAAAAAAGAGAAAACACAGAAACAGACAAGAGAAAAAAAAGAGGAAGAGAGAGAAACAGACACAAAAGAGAAATAGATACAGAGAAAACAAGAGAAACAGACATAGAGGAGAAAGAGACTGAGAAAGACACACACAAGAAAGAAAGAAAAAAAACAGAAGCAGAGAAAACACGGAAACAGGCAAAAGAAAAAATAAATAAACAAAGAGGAAGAGAGGGAAACAGACACGGATAAATTGAGAGAAACAGACATGGAGGAGAAAGAGACTGAGACAGACACAGCGAGGGGAGAAAGAAAGAAAAATCAAAAAGAGAAAACACAGACCCAGACAAGAGGAAAAAAAAGAAAAGAAACAAAGAGGAAGAGAGAGAAACAGACACGGATAAATGGGAGAGAAACAGACAGAGGGAACGTTCAGATCGCCATGAACTCTCAGTCTTGATTAGTTCTTCTTATCTCCAGGCTGAAACGTCACCCGATCTCCCACCCTGCTCTCCTTTGATGGGTCTCAGACCAATTTGCCTCCCCGCCGTCGCCTAAGTGGTCTGGTACCTAGTAGGAGGGCTGCCACCACCCTCCTAATGCACCCCTACCCCCTACCCTCCACCCCATCTAATCCCCCGTGTGGAGGTGGGGAGCACCACCCGGAATGCCACCTCCCCCCCTACCCCTACCCCCTCGTGTGGAGGTGGGAGCTGCTGGCCCCCTCGTAGGTGAGAGGCTGCCACCACCAATCCCCCCAAGGCTGCCATCTACCCCCACCCCCTCGTGCATCACCCATCTAATCCCCCTCTACCCCCCACCTCCTGCCCCCTCGTGTGGAGGTGAGAGCTGCCACCCCATCTAATCCCCCCCACTACCCCCACCCCTCGTGCAGTGGTGAGAGGCTGCACCACCCTTCTCAATACCCCCCCCACTACTCTCCACTCCCCCCTACACCACTTCACTTCACTTGCTCTTTCGTCTCGTGCTTTTCAGTGAATGGTTTTGAATGAATTGGTGTGATATTTTGCTGTAGATTTTATTACTTGTCTTTATTTTCATCCTCTTCATCGTCGTCGTTGTCATCGACATGATCATCATCATTCACCAGCATCATTATCATCTTTATCCTTATCATCACCATTATCTTCATCACCATCACACCATCATTATCGCCATCATCATCATAATCATCATCATAAACATCATAATCATCACCAATATCATCATCATCATCATCATCACCATCACCAACATAATCATCCTCATCAAAAACATAAAAATCCTATACTTTCGCATGTCAGCAAATCTGGATAATAATTTACTCACTCGATACCCCC